TTTGATCAATTGTAAACAAGGTTTAAATTTCTAGTCCTAATACAATTTCTCCTTTTAGCACTGGGCACATTAAATAACTAAACTAACAGATCTCTAGGTTCAATAGTACAGTGGCTGATAAATAACATGCCCTGCCTCTACTCAGGCTCAAAAAATTCAATAAACAGGCATCGACTAAGGAAAGTTTTATGATTTTGTTTATTTAAGTAGTTCTACTTTTGGAATCAATGGATCATCAAAATATCAGAAGACTTTTTATTACTGAAGGTCACATACTGTAGAAGGGACATAAAACTGAGGTCCTGACCAGTTTGGAAAATTAAAGGCTCCCAGCACTTTTCTTGTGAGTAGTGGTGCCAACACCAGTGCCCTAGCCAGATTTCAAAGCTAATAAATTATGTTCTGCCTAGAGCTTTGAATGGCAATGTTGCTCTTTTTCACCTTGTCTAAAATTGCTGGATGACATTAAACAACTATTGTGTCCCCTCCAGTAATGACTGGATCATTCAGTTCAATTCAACTGAAAACACAAGCTCCTGTCAAACTGTTGTGCACTGCTGATGAGTTACATCCTTTCAGGCAGCTTGCAATTCCTATATATACACACCTGACCTTTGTGGCCAGGTGGTGTCATGAGGCTTATCTGGCTAGCTAGTATATACAGCACACCTCTCAAGACATCCATAAAAAGCTGGTCAATAGACAGGAAGATCCTGGGAGATTCCTCTTGTGGAGTATTTAATTTCAGAATATTCTATCAGGAAAGAATCTTCCTGAAAAGGAAGACGTTCCACAGACTCCACCATAGACTTCACTGATGCTTCTAATTTAATGCAGAAGGTGCTCTGGTATTAAGGGCAGCAGCATAAATGAAAGATAGATAAAGATCAAGATAGAGAGAAAGAAAAATATTTTGTCCATTCAGAGCAAAGATCGAGAGGCTCTTCCCCTGTGCAAAGTGCACCAACAAAAATCAATTTATTTGGATTCTCTGTCCTAGCTCTGGGGCCCCTTCCCAGACTTTTCTCTCTTCTGTGACTAAACAACTCCAATACTGCCCCGTTACCAGGGTTTTCCTTATTTATGACCACCCTTAGAAAACTTTCCAGGAGCTGTTCCTTGGTACAGAGGAAGGGACCCATGGGCTTTGGCATCTGTCAAGTGCTTTGGCATCCTTTGATAAGAGGAAGCTCTAGAATGCAAAGTACAATGACTCGTGGCACTGAATGAGTACAACCGCAGTTTTAAATACAAAACAAAACAAAATGCCTGCCATGAGTTTTATGAAAAATGCAAAAGAAAAGGCTTTAGAGTGGCATTTATTTTCATAGCCTCCATAGAGAAATAGAGAAAATGAGCAAATCATTTTCTGCCACAGAACACTCAATTCTCCTGAGGATGCCAGTAAAAACAAAACATGCTGACTTATTCTTTAGAGAAAAAGCATGGTGAATGATATTCTGCATGTATCAGTAAATAATAAATGTTCTTAAAATTAATATAGCTGGAAAACTATGTTACCTAGTTCCCTTTAATTTAAAAGTGTTTGGGGGATGTTCTTTAGCATTTGTCATAGAAAACTTAGAAGGTGTTCATGGCTCAGATAGTAATGTCTTGAACTTCTATGCTGTTTACTCAGATTTGGTGATTAATTCCAAGCAAACAGCAGCTAAGACTGCTCTGGTGCAAACTTAGTGAGCGAGTCAGTGAGAGCAACAGAAGTGCTGCATACTTATTGGAGTGATTACAAAGTAGCTAGGAATATGCTGGTCTCCCACATCAGGCTTCCCAGATCATAGCTGTGATTTTTTTTAGATGACCCACTATTCAAAAAGTCTGAAATCAGTTCTGAGTCCCGTGGAAAGTCATCACATCGGGACATTACAACTCAAGGGGATCACAGTTTAGCACACTGTCATTATGCTGTAACATGATGGTGCCTTGACATTATATGACACCACTACCACTTTACAATGTCATTGCAAGCTGCCTGTCAAATTGACTCACAAGTGTGGCAAACAGCTCCACCAGAAGTCTTGTCCAGAAAGATAGTCATTTCTCATACACAAGGATTTAAGGATATTATGATTAAATGCAGAAAAACCCTGAAGGTTTCTCAGGGATCCCTAAGACATATGAAGGATGCCAGGGAAAATATATGTCATTCAGAAAATATCTATATCTTTCAACTTTTTAGGCTGATACCATCATAACACACTACAATAAATACATACAATAGCATGCAGTATATGACATAACCTTCACTTTTCTTATATTGAGATAGCATCAAATACTCCCTCCCATCATTACAATTTTGACTAATATCTGCTGGTTATAAAAAAATCAATCAAATAAAGTACCAACAACATTAACCAAAATTATTTCAAAAGTGATGTAGCCAACCTAGCCTATATCAAAATCCTGTTCATTTATGCTAAGAATCACATAGCATCTTGTATTTGCTCATGTAAGTGCCCGGCACAAGCAGATAAGAAATGTGTCATTTGTTCTATGTCTTAGTATAAGCTATGCAGTACCTGGAATGTTAGTAACACCCCCCACCCCCCAAAAACATATGGAAGGAACAGAACAGGTTACAGAAGTGGTACAAACTGGCTTGTTAGTGACAACTAATGCTAGCTGAAATGTTAACACCTGCTTTAGGTGAATAGAACACCACTGCATAGCCAACTGTTCTTTAGAGATTGGAATCATATCAACTCTTTTTCCTGTACAATATTAATAAACATGACTGACATTGATTACTTGGTCTTTTCAATATATTTCATACAGACTATGCAATTTATCAACAAATTTATCAATTTTTCAGGATCCTGACCAAAGGAAGAAAAGAGAGTAGTAAAATATACACCTTGGACTTCAAAAAAGCAGATTTTGACTCCCTCAGAGATCTGATGGGCAGAATCCCCTGTGATGTTAACATGAAGGGGAAAGGAGTCCAGGACAGCTGGCAGTATTTTAAAGAAGCCTTACTGAAGGCACAGAAAGAAACCATCCCGATGCATAGCAAGAGAGGCAAACATGGTAGGAGAACAGATTGGCTTACAGGGGAAATCCTTGGGGAACTTAAGCACAAAAAGGAAGCTTACAAAAAGTGGAAACTTGGACAAATGACCAGGGAGGGGTTTAAATGTATAGCTCGAGAATGCCGGGGGGTTATCAGGAAGGCGAAAGCGCAAATGGAATTGCGA